TGAAGAACTCAAACATAGTGTTACTGTAATTGCTATTACTGTAATCTATTAATGTAAATTTATAATAGTAGCCATAAATTCTATTAAAATGCTACAATGCAGCAGAGGGGATTGGGCTTCTATTAGAGTATCTACATGTATGAAAAGTTGAATTTTGGGTTATCAATTGTTCAAAAAGAATCGGTACAGCTTCTAATTTAAACAGATTTTACAGTAGGATTTATTTTGCCAATATTTATCAGATTGAAGATTCATATTATCCACTCATTCAAGCATTTTCCTGTCAATGAGCTTGGGCACATTTACAGACTCAGAAATGAAGGACAGCACTACTTATATAAAACATATATTGAGAAGAATATATCATGTAAATCCTTGGAAACCAGTACGGTTTTTGACAAGAACATACAGATCTTTTAAGAGCACCAAGAAAATCAACAATACATGTATCGTCCAAGAGATGCCATTCTCCCAAATATATATGCTGCAGAATGGGTGGGCAGAATGCACACTTTTTCTACTGCTGAGTGTCAGCAAATCATGGAGTCAAAACTACGATTTCCCTGATGTTGGGCGGACAAACTAACCATTATGTAGCACAAGCAGATAATTTTTTTGTGTCAGCATTCTTTGTATTTTACATGTCTACATTTAAGTCACATGGACAGAATACTTTGAATAGTTTACCTGGTTCATCAGTACCATCTTTACAATCACAATAATCGTCATTCACTTGGGAAAATGGAATCTTTAAAGAACCATCCAAACACGTGAATGTTACTTTATTCTCATAAAACGGTTTATCTGAAAAAAAAGAAGATTTTCATTAGTGTGCAGCAATGCAGATGTGACACACACATCTTGAACAAATGGTCAAATTAATAATTCTACTTTTGATATTATGAGCATATTCACAGTGTTTTAGCACATTACCTGCTGAAAAACCTCTAAGGTCAAATTGAATAGGAAAAAAACAGTGTCGGTTGACGATGTGTTCATTTCACAGATTTGCTGAGTGGATTGCCAGATAAATTCTGAGAAATTTTAATAACATGATCACACAAATAGCAAATTCTCTTATGAGCAAATCCAGGAAAATTAAAACCGAGAGAAAAATGAATGCATTTACAGTACACTGTGAGCAATGATGTCACTTTACTTCATGAGTGCACATTGAAATTTTAGGCCAATATTTCTAAAACTACCGGTAATACTTGTACTTGTAAACTAATTGGAATTTACTGTAAATGGAACTTTATATAGAGCTTTTTCCCTTGCCCCCCCCCCCTCAATAAATATATGATCTGTAAATACAGTCTGATGAAATTGTGTAGCAAATATATTTGACTATTCTGACTATTCAAAGAATTCATGGGACGCATCTCGGAAATGATCCCACAGTCGCTGCACAGCATGCGTTTAAATTTTGTATTTAACATATTGTATCCAGGTTGCATGGGACCCACATTGATGACTGGCATTTTAAGCTTCCATACACTCATTGACGCAGATATAAGCACAGTAACATGTTATGTTTGTTTATGTAAATATGAGTTTGCAAAATGTTATACAAAACATTTCACTGTTTATAAAGCATTTACTAAAAAAAAGAACAATACTGTTAGTGTTAGATTACAGATTTACAGATGACAATCATGTTACCTGCCAGTCACAAATTGAGTGTGAGTGCATGTCTCTTCCCACTCATGGCATTTTGAACACAAATGAATGCATCATGGGACAAAGTCAACTAAGTCACATTTCAACAGCTAAAACATATGACAGACAACTTTAATATTATAGCTAATTACAAAATGTTGTCTTCTCTGCATTTTTGTAAGATCATACAGAAACAAATTTGCAGATTTGTTTTGTGAAAGGTGATAAAATTAGACCTTGACATTGAAATGATTTAATAATGGTATACTGACAAGCCTATTATCTATTTGGAATAAGTGTTGTAAATTAATTTTGACAAAATTCACTGAAAATTGTGAAAACAAATTAATAAAATTAATTTACATTAGTACCGTTTGTGTATAGAAAACATTTACTATAGTATTTCTTGCTTTCCTTTTGCGATTATGAATTTTACTACCACTTTAGTAATGTTATATTTCTATTCGATAACTATATTGTAAATTCAGGCATTACACTATCTGAATTTTGTTTCACTTCATAATTGGTACATGGCATTCATTTATCACAGTGACGCATAATGGCATTCAGTTTATCCATTTGTGCACATAACAATTTTAAGATTATATTATAATCAACAGAAAACTGACACATTGTTGTGACTGGTAGCCATGGAGATGGATTCTCATTTGTAATGCTAAATAGAGTGCTTTGAGAAAAATAGAAATGAAACTTAATATTTTTCAACACAAATATAATATATCCTGGCAAGTTGTTGGTTTCAGTATAGGATTATTATACACTATCATTGCAACCACAGTTGTTAGTTATTTAAGATACAAGGCTAGGAAATAAATAATTGTTGGTCCTATCTAGAGAAGCTAACTTGCTCACTAATTCATCAACCACTTTGGTTTTGACTAAAACAGATGACCTACAATTTAAATATTATCTTTCATTCTGTCAATATCAAATGTTAGTAATATCTAAAAAACAGTATTTTAAATAAGTTTATTAGGTTTTACAGGACTGAAAAGTATGCATTTTTGCTGTAAACCTTATTTGGTCAAGTCAATGTAAAAGTATATGGGGCTGACAATACTATGGTTAAACTATTAATGAAAATAATGCGACATTTTCCTTCTACTACTCTACAAATAGTTTGAGAATAAGTTTTTTAATTTTTTTATTTTATAATATGTTATTCTTCAATAATTTATAAAATAGGCCTACTTTTATGAAACGCACAATGTTCATATACCATATTTTCTCTATTTGTAGTGTACACACAATGACGCTTTAATTAGTAATATTTTAATATTCTATAATACAACATATATGTGCACCTCTTAGAAAATACGTTAGTTGCTAAAATAGCATTTTCACATGTGATTAATATTCCTAAAATTCATTTTTCACACTTTTTCAAAATTGTAAGATAATGAATGTTTTTGTATGTTTCTTCTTCTTTCTTGGTAATTATTTGAAATGTTTTGATTAAAATGTCTGTTACTTATCAAAATAGAATTTATCTACTAACTTTGCTGAACAATAAGATCATAAAACACATAAGTTTGGTCTAGTTTAGATTATTTATTAAGAGATACCCACCGGGAAACATAAATTTGATGAGTTGATCACTTCGGTAATGAATGATCGCCGATTAACCAAGGGGACGAGGAAGTGCATTTCAAAAAGATACTTTATAGTTAATGCTATGTGGAATGAAGATTGCCACGCCCGAAATGATTAACCGTCCCATCGTATGCCACTTTTTATCTAAAGCACCCAAAAGTTCATATAAACAGGAAAAAACAGCTGCACAAGTCGCGAATGATAAAAGTACTCGACGTCTGATAACGACATATACATTAAACACTGTATTTTGCCACGTTCCCCAATTTTTAGCCCCGGTACACTGTCTGATGTGCAAGAGCGACATGTTTTCCAGTTAATATTTTTGTAGATCACAACTGCAATATACAGTACACCATATTAAACGGCAAGTACCCATGCCAATACGGGTGTCAATCCACGTGTCGAACGCTGAACAGTCGACAAGAGCAAAGCATTGAAGCTTGGACGAGTCGGCTGGGACATGATAATTGCATTCTGAAAATTACTTACTGGTAAGTGAAACACCACGCGGTCGCGACACCTGTTGAGGCAATACCGACCCAGTAACGACAAAAAATAGAAATATAGCGTTGTACTTATAGAAAGAACAGGATAACTTTACAAAAGAAACTGAAAACATCGCCATTTTGAGGACAGCCGATATTGAACGTATGTTTGTTGCGAATTCATTCCTCAAATGTCTCGGGGGTTGGAATTTTAGCGAAAACTTGTTAATTTAATTTTTCTCGAAATATACCATGCTCGACATATATATAATGTATGTCTGCCTCAAGTATACAAAATGTAAATTAAAACGTTTCGTTGAGTGCAGTCTACCATTGTGTAGTGCGCCCTCTTTTGTCAGAACACTGCATGATGATATATCAGGAAAGCGAAGGATTCCGGATTGAGTGTGTAAATTTAATAACAATTCAGCGATGACTCGGTAAGTTGAGATTATTTCTCTTGTAAGATTTTGAAGTGGTGCGAATAGAACCACCAGAAAATGATGTGTTGTTCCGCCTATGTCAAAACTCGTCGTTTCATTTGCATTGCTTTGCTTATAATAATGGAGACGTTTACTACATGTACATTGTGATTGTTGTCAATTTTTCATTTGCTGTTGTGTTAGCAGCTCTGATTGGTCAAGAGCTGTATTGTTACGTATATCGGATATTTAGGTTAATGGCTTTGGATTTGGTAGACGAAAAAAACTCTTAGACTACTTGTAATTTGTATTTTGCTCAGAAACAATTATTGCATTTCTGGTCAGTCTGTGAAGATGTGCATATCACAGTTTTATTTAAGGTTTATTTTTTTGTCAGAATTAAAAAAAAAGAAATACGTGTGTGTCAATTTTGGAAAATGAACGTTTTTCTTTTTCTCTTGGCATTATAGTCGATTAAAATGATATTTATTATAGCACACTAAATATGTTGACCCTTGACTAGCGAATCAAGTGTACTGATATTTCTTAAATACAAATAGCCGCTGAGATCTTCTCGAGAGTAAGAATACAAGAGAGTTAAAGCAGGAACGTCAATCGTCACATGCGCATGCAACAAATGTCCATAGCATATCGTTGTTTACATAAAAGTGTCTACCCATGAGCCTTTGCATTTTTAGCATGTGTTGTTATCGTTGCTTGGGACTCGATTCCCATGCATGCACATGACAACCAATCCGCTTTAATTGTTTTGCCTTCCAGATAGTATTATATTCTCTTCGTTTATTGTCTCTAATACCGTGGTTACACAGTTCAGCGGAACAGAGTATGTGGTGATGGAAGAAATTGAAACACTATTTGAGGGCGGCAAACAAGTCTTGTGGCTTTCTCACAGTTAACAGAAACTCAGCAAACATTTACATTTAAGGTGTATTGTTTTAGATATACGTACTAAACATATTGTAATAATATGCAACAATATTATTAGTAAAAACTGTATTTTCTCTTATGAAAACAGGTTCATGTACATGTATTTATAAAGCAGCACAAAATGATGCCAGATTCCACTCAGACAGGAGAGAAAAAGGCAAAGAAACGGAAAAGTGGCAAGAAAAATGAGAAACCTGTAAAGAAGAAAAAGCTAGCTAGCAAAAAAGTGTGTATCTGAATATAAATCATTACTTTCACATAAATTCCATTCTTGCTTTAGAATTGGAAAATGTAAAATCGAGGAAAGTAAGTGGTGGGCTTATACTTGAGGGCCACCACAGAAAGAATGATTGTTTTTGGTTTACCAACTTACCACCCATGAAAAAATATGCAAATTACATCTTCCGCTCACCATGCTGGGCTTGATGGTATATTACGTAATTTACACTTAAATGAAGAAACAAACATGTTCATAAAAATACACATATTTTATTACAATATGATTTACATACCATGTAAATTTACAGTGTAAAAATGGGTAGAAATGAAAATGGTCTGTGGGATGTTTTCGATCATATGCAAACTCTCCATGCAAAGCAATTTTCGCCATGATGTTTTTTAGCATGATTTGACCTGAAACAACATCCCTAGACCTAAAAGGTCAGGTCTTTCATTAACCAATCAAAATGCTGTGTCATACTTACAAAATTTTCTGATTATTGACGATGTAATTTTTTTAACGCAATGCGGAAGTGAATTTCCATGATGTTAAAATGCCATACTAAGCATGATTTTTATGCTATGAAATACACTTTTTATATGCATATTTAATATTTAATTAATGTTCTTGGTGTGAATTACCCTGGGCTTGAGGATGCCCTCAACTCATTAAATCTCTAAAAATAGAGGGGTGGGCTTATACTCAGGGAGGGGCTTATGATCGGGGAAGTATGGTATATAGATAGAAGATCATGAAGCAATAACTTCTAATGTATTTCATCTAATCTGATAAATTGCTACATGTATATAATAAATGGCAGTGTGTTTACTGTCAGGACACAGTCATTGGTGTGTCCGGTGCATGTCGTAATGCTCGTAAATGTGCACATTTATCTGAACTGTGTGACCTCGAAAAAATGGTTTGACCTTATCAATTTTAATCATGTAAGAATATTGAGATGCCCATAGCAAACCAGTCAGCAACTTAGCTGACATTTTCTGTTGACAAAATCTTTATCATTTATATAACCCAAAAAAGATGTCCCCGGTTAACATTTCTTGCCACTTAATCAAAAGCTGTTGGGTTTAACCATTAATAGACCTGAGGGGAAACATTTCATCTCATGTTCATTGTGTACCATTGCAGACAAAGAAAGGCAGCCCTTCAAATGAGGCTGAAGCCATACTAAACAGCGACAATGAGTATGACTCTGATTTAAATCCAGAGAAAGAACTCAAACCCATTGGTGGGTACATTAAAAACAGAGAAGAAATGCTGAAACATGTGTTTAAATGTGTAGGTGGGGAGAAGCTGCAAAGTATGTTGCTGATATCCTCAAGGTAAATGTCGCTAATTTAACCCTACCTGTTAAACTATGGTGGCGTTGTTACTATACTCTGGTAGACTGAACTATTCTCTGGTAGACCAGATTATACTCTGGTAGACTAAATTGTACTCTGGTAGACTGAACTATACTCTGGTAGACTAGACTATATCCTGGTAGACTAGACTATACTCTGCTAGACTGGACTATATTCTGGTACACTGAACTACACTCTGGTAGACTGAATTATATTCTGGTCGACTAGAATATACTCTGGTATACTAGATTATACTCTGGTAGACTGAACTATACTCTGGTAGACTGAACTATACTCTGGTAGATGACTATATTCTGGTAGACTAGAATATATTCTGGTAGATTAGATCATACTCTGGTAGACTGAACTATACTCTGGTAGACGACTATATTCTGGTAGACGACTATATTCTGGTAGATTTGAATATACTATGGTAGATTAGATTATACTCTGGTAGACTGAACTATACTCTGGTCAACTGAACTATACTCTGGTAAACTAAACTATACTCTGGTAGACTAGATTAAGATTATACTCTAGTAGACTGAACTATACTCTGGTAGACTAGATTATACTCTGGTAGACTGAACTATACTCTGGCAGACTGAACTATACACTGGTAGACTAGATTATATTCTAGTACACCGAACTATACTCTGGTAGACTGAACTATACTCTGGTAGACTGAACTATATTTTGGTCGACTGAACTATAGTCTGGTAGATTGAACTATACTCTGGTAAACTAAACTATACTCTGGTAGACTAGATTATACTCTGGTAGACTGGACTATATTCTGGTACACTGAACTACAATCTGGTAGACTGAACTATATTCTGGTAGACTGAACTATACTCTGGTAGACTAGATTATACTCTGGTACACTAGATTATACTCTAGTAAACTAAACTATACTCTGGTAGACTAGATTAAGGTTATACTCTGGTAGACTGAACTATACTCTTGTAGACTGAACTGTACTCTGGTAGACTGAACTATACTCTGGTAGACTAGATTATACTCTGGTAGATTGAACTATACTCTGGCAGACTGAACTATACTCTGGTAGACTAGATTATACTCTGGTAGACTGAACTATACTCTGCTAGACTGGACTATATTCTGGTTGACTGAACTATACTCTGGTAGACTGAACTATATTCTGGTAGACTAGAATATATTCTGGTAGATTAGATCATACTCTGGTAGACTGAACTATACTCTGGTAGACGACTATATTCTGGTAGATTAGAATATACTATGGTAGACTAGATTATACTCTGGTAGACTGAACTATACTCTGGTCAACTGAACTATACTCTGGTAAACTAAACTATACTCTGGTAGACTAGATTAAGATTATACTCTAGTAGACTGAACTATACTCTGGTAGACTAGATTATACTCTGGTAGACTGAACTATACTCTGGCAGACTGAACTATACTCTGGCAGACTGAACTATACTCTGGTAGACTAGATTATATTCTAGTTCACCGAACTATACTCTGGTAGACTGAACTATACTCTGGTAGACTGAACTATATTCTGGTCGACTGAACTATAGTCTGGTAGATTGAACTATACTCTGGCAGACTAGATTATACTCTGGTTGACTAGTTTATACTCTGGTAGACTAGATTATACTCTGGTAGACTGACTATATTCTGGTAGACTGAACTATACTCTGGT